CACAAGGCCACTAAGACCAACTTAGATTCTCAACTCTGTTTTGCCAAGCACCCTACAAACTGCAGCTCCCCATATTCTACAATCCTGTGCCACTGCAGGCTGCATCTGTGCCACCAGGGACGTCTTCTAGGAAGTCCATGGTCCGTCTCTCCTTCCTTTTAACCACACACAGTCCTTGGTGCCAAAAAGCTGGGAAATGCCCCTAGAAACAGAGATAACCTACACAAACCCGGATGGGGCAATCGGCAGAGCAGGACATGACTAACAGGAGGGGAATCGAGGCAGAATCCTCAAGAATGGGAAGAAAAAGAGAAGCTACTGTCCCCTTCCCTGGCTTCTGCTGAGGACCAGTGACCCACAGCAAAGTCCCTCTGCCTCCGAAGGTGGATCAATACTGCTCAGCTCAGAGTGGACCCTGCAGTATCACAAAGCCCAACGAGGTTGCCTACATCCCACTGCTATGTCAGGCAACTCTAGGAGGTAGTACCAAAACTGATACACATGGACCTATACCCCAAAAGGCCTGCTCCTCTCTGTCTCTCTCCGTTTTTCTTTCCCTCTCCCTCTCCCTCTTGAAAAGATACCAGCATTCAAGATACCAGCAGCAGCAACAGAGGAACACAAAACAACAATGCTGGACAGATGCCTTCTCTCCTCGATGTATTGTCCTCTTTGTCTTTGCATCCATATATATGGTTGTAGGACTGATGAGTTTTCATTTTTGGTGATTAATTCCACAGCCTGCCCTGTCTTTTAGGTGGTTGCACTGCTTGAAGCAGAACATCACAGCCCAGAGGAGAATGAGACAACAAGAAATAAGGGAGAACATCACATGTGCTTTAAAAGACGGGAGTTGGAGTTTAAAAAAGGGGTGACAGTGGGGAAAATCATGAGGGAAGGTCCCTTCTATTAGCCAGAGATGATGGAGCTTAAAAAGGGATCAGATGACAGCTAAGGGCCATGAAAAATAGATTCTGCTGGGTTAGTGAGCATTTTCCAAAGGAAGCCAGCAAACAGCTAGAGGGCCCTTCCACATTGATCAAAACACCAAAGTATCACTAAGCGTATGGTAGATCTATTTTTAAACTTTATGTCCATATCTGAGGGCAAGTAGAAGAGAGAATTTGATTTCATCATGAACCTGAGGTCATTAGGGAATGATCTGCAAGGGATGCTCATGTGTGGTGACTCTAAGCTACAGGTCCAGAACCTGGTCCTTTAGCTTAAAGCTACTGCAATCTCCTCAGTGCAGCTATAGGAGGTCCCACTTTAATCCTTCATGGCCTAAGCAGAAAGTCACAGTGAAATAATGGACTAAATGGAAGCTGTGGATATTCAAGTTAGGTGTCAGGGAAGAAAATCCTTTCTATTGGCAAGGACAGCAAGACAACCTGGAACAGATTGCCTATGGCGATGTGAAGGCCAGACAAGTATCTGCTAGGCATGGCACTGCCTCTGGTCAGGAGGATGGGTGAGTCTCTTTCAGTTCAATTTTCTATTACTCAATGAGTGACAAAACCAGCAGATGCAAACACTTTTTAATAGCACCTCCCCTCAAGCCAGAGGAAGTATGATTTCTTTATTTCTCTCGCTCCCTCTTTCATTCTTTCTCAAGGTTCATATGCTTAGGAGAAGAAACTGTACTTTAAATCTGGCCTGTGAATGAAGGCACATTTGCAGAGCTCTAAAAACACACCTGAAGATCCTGTCAGTCACACAGAATAGAGTGTGGATGTTTGCCCAAGTGGACATCTGCTCAACCTAGCACGCAGGATTATCCCTTGACCTGTGATCCAGGGAGCACTGGGGTCCATAAATCAGCAGGTGGTCCACAAGCTCATAGCACATGCATGACCAAGCAAATACACATGCAGTGGACACCGTGCCAGCATTTTGCTGGTGGTGCTTGAGGTCCCCCTCACACTGCCTGCACGCCCTCCCTGGTTTGACTCGTTCTCTGTGCATGAGCAGTTGAAAAGCACTGACCCAAAGTGCCCCTGAGGATGGTTCCAACCATCCTCATCAGCAGGATGAAAAGAGCAGTGTGTGAGGAAGAGGCAGACAACAGAAGTTTCTCTGTTTCTTTGTATTTAAGACACAAAAGGGAAGTGCGGGACTGGATGATAATCTGGGGAAGACAGGCAGGGTTTCACTGGAGGTGACTGTTTTGTAATACACCTCGTGGACTACACAGCTGTTGACAATTCAGAAGATCCGGATATCCAGGAAACTGGATTTCCTCCCTGTTTCCTAGCACAGAAAGACAAAAAACTGAAGACTGCCAAAGTTAACGACTAGGTGAACAGCACAGGGGACAGATGTCAGATTTGTGGATCGTATTGTAAAGAGAAAGTGACCTCTCGATAGGGAACGAATGCACACTACTCTGTAAGACAGGCTGGCTAGGCGAGTCTGATTAAATAAGCAACTGAAAGCTCATTCAACACAAAAACATGACACCAAGCACAACATTAACCAAAGCAAAGGTTTTGATGACCTTTTTCAGCTGCCTATATGCTAATTACAAGTGTCTGAAAAACTGGATAAACCCTCTGCCTGCAGAGCAGCAACGCAAAATAATACTCCTGAAAACTAATAGCTAGATTTAGATTATTAGAATATTAAAAGAAATAGTTGTAACCAATTAAAGAAGTCCGAATGGAAGAGGGAAATTGACAGGCCCTATATGTCACAAATAATGTCTGTCCCAGTGACTGACAACTTGGAAGTAAGTAATCTTGGATATTTACGAATCAAGATACACCCAAGGTGGGCTGTTATTTGGTATCTATCTGTTACAGCATTGGAATCACTGTAGAGCACAGGATGACGGGCTTCTTCAACACCTATATACAACAAGTACAAAAAAACCCTTGTGTTATCTCAGGGCCATCCAATCCGAGCAATTTATGCCGGAGACCTTATGTCACTAGCATTAAAACATGACTGCACTTTCCAAAATGCTACAAGTGACAAGTCACTGACTCCTAATTTAAAGGAAAGATCAGCCTTCCTAACCCTGTGCACTAAAGCTCTTGCCAATTAGCTACACGAGTCACATACAGTATAGGCCCTGCAGCATCAAAGGGAATGGAGAATTCAGGAGCAGTTCACAGCACGATGACCACAACGTGAGGAACCTGTGGGACGAAGCTAAACTCCACCGCGCACAGCTCAACCCCACAGCGGTCAGCCTGCCACGCCAGGCGCAGCAGGACCTGTTGACTTGCTCCCTGCCCAGCCAGGGACAGCAGCAGGCAGGAGCTGCGGTACCGGCACAAGCACAACTTACCGCTGATCGTATGATGTAGCTACACCTGAACTGCCTGAGGGTCATACGCAGTTTAGCAAAGGAGCCAGACAATCCCTGCCCTAGCCTTTGTCGCAGTAGGGAGGAAATGATCACAAACCAGAAGGTTACTGGTTGTTTAGACTGACAAGGACCGACACTTTCTGTGCAAGTAACTAACGTAGTCTGCGATCAAATCCAGATTAGTAAAATTTTATGCAATATATGAACATACGCTCTTCATATATACATAAATTAAAATCGCAGTGCATGCTTTCTGAGAGGCAATTTCACAAAACTACAGTAAATGGGAGTCAAATCAGGCTGAAGACAGAACGTACAGAAAGTTGCTGACATCTGCGAACAGTTTAAGACATTTCCTAAATGCCTACAGTGTTACAACCATGAAAAGAAGACTGGGCTAGACAAAAATAACACACAACGAAAAAACCCAACAGCTGGGTTTGCCAGGGAAGTGAAAAACAGATAAAATGTTATATACGAAACCAACACATCAAGGGGGAAAGGGGAAAAGATAATAACGAGTAAAAAAGCTAAAATAAAGATTATATAGAGGAAGCAAGAAGATATTAGGAAAAATTAAGGCAGATAGAATCAGATATATAATTTTTTATTTTTCTAAGCAGATTATAAAAGACAATAAAAGTGGTAGAATCGTTCATAACAATATGACAGTGGCAGAAGTTATTCAATAAATATTTCTGATTAGCACACAGGTAAAAGGCCGGACGATCTGTTTATGATGATGATGAAATAACTTCCCACCACAGCAGCCCCTGGAGAGGGGACATTAAGCAGCAGACACACAATTCTAGGTATTTCAGGTTAGTTGCTAGAAATAAACTTGTCTCAGAAGGTTTTAGAGAGATAGCCTTGGAGCTGCTACTGCTGCATCTAAACCAGTTCTGGGCCGGACCAGGGGCAGGAGGAAGGTTCATGTTGGGCCACTGTTTAAGAAGGGTAAAAAGTAATTACAGGCCAGTTGGCTGAGTCTCCAGTATTTTGCATAGAATAGAACAACTAACATAGGACTCAATTAATAAAATCTTAAAAAAAAGCTCTATAATTAAAGTCAATCAACTTGACTTTAAGGAAAACAGATCCTGTCAAACTAATCTGATGTCATTTCTTGCAAAAATTACAAGTTCACTTGACAAAGGCAGCGTTGTTGACAGTATTACAAGTCTAAGTCATTTGACTTGTTCTGTAGAACATCTTTATGAAGAAACTGAATGCTTTGAAGCTTGTATGGAGTGTCTCCATCTGTACATGGAAAGCAGGACTCCATAGGTGGAGAGCACTTACGAGGTGAGGCAAAAATCTTAAAGGTATTTTGTATCAAAGTCACTTCTGAGTCCATAATCATATTAAATGTATTGATAAATGAGGAAGCCAAAGTGTAACTCTAAATGGGAAACTATTTATTAGCAAACAGATGGGTTCTTATTGGGTTCCCACAGGTATTGGTGATCATCCCTTTACTATTTAATAGCCTTACCAGTGACCTAGATTAAAGTTAAGTCATTACGGTTAGATATGAGACGGGGGACAGCAAAAACCAAACAACGAAAGGACAAGCCTGACACACAGCAACTGGGGTCTGTAGAAAGATGGGAGAAACCAGTTTAGGTGTTAATATGGCCAAGTGCAGAATCGCCTTATTAGAATAAAGAATACAGGCTGTACTTACAGGATGAGAGGGAGAGAGAGGACTCTATCCTCCGAAGCAGAGACTGAATATGAGACCGGGGGTCCTGGGCGGCAATCAGCTCGACATGAATTCCCCGCACAAGGCTGTGGCCAAAAGGGCTAATGTGAGCCTCAGCTGTACAAACAAATGAAAATCAAAAGATGAGTAGGTAGGTTACAGAGACGCTGTATTTGGCTCTCGTTTCTCTGCTCCGTGAATAATGTATCAGGTTCTGCTGCTCCATTTTTCAAATAAAGTGTTGGAAAAATTGGAAGAGTGTTCAGGGGAGAGAGATTAAAGAACTGAAAACACTGGGTAGCAGAAGGCTTTGTTATAAACAAAAATCTTACAAAAATCTTTCTTATTTTGTTCACAGTATAGGAGTATTCATACTGGGAATAAATCTGATAACAGCAGGCTCTAATCTAGCAGGGGTGGAAAATGCATTGGAACTGGAAACTAATCCAATCCAGACTGTGAACAGGCAATTTTGTTTTGCTTTTTCAGCAATGATCTGTTATGGGCAATTAACTAGCAATTAACCCTTTACACCACAGGTTGTGATGCACTGTCCATCTCTGCAAAGTTGTGAAAATAACTGTGCTTGATTTAAAAAGGATGCACACCCATGCAGCTTGGGTTATTAGGCATGAAGCAGGAGCTCCTGCAGGTGAGATGTACTGCCTGCATAAAGCTGGAGGTCAGGTGAGTGGTCACTGCATCAGACAGTGCTTTGTGTTTCCATTAAGAAACAGTCCCTCCCCTCTCAGGGTAGTAATCCTGGCAGCCTACCTGCTCATGGCCTACAAAATATCTCCAGGGGAAACCCCAACCTTTTGGGACTGAGGTGCCATCTAAGTACGGCTGACACCCAACTGTCCATCTTTTGCAGGATCTGCAGGCAGCCGTCTCTAAATTCCCAGCACCTGGCTCCACACAAAACCTCACTGTGCAAAGCTCCTCACACTGAGATGCCAAGGAAACAACTTTTAGGAAACCGATGGGGGTTATTACAGCTCTGCCACTGAGAGACTACCTGCGACTCCTTGCTTCAGCAATTCAATTCATCTGCTGCCCACTACTGGGATCTTATCCCAGCGATCTGCCTGGGATCCCATCCCGGGATCCCATCCCAGGATCCCCCAGCCACAGAAGGTGACCTCAGAGAATTAGGCTGAGGGAAGGAGTCCTCCATGCCTCACAGATATTTCCTCTCCCAACTTCACCCTTTCGGGATGAACTGATGGACTAGCTGCCTTCTTTAGGAAGGCAAGTTAGTGCCTCCAAGCAGGGTGAGTGGACATGAGCACTGCTCCCGCAGGCACATCCCAGTTCATTTGGGATATCCACATGTCTTCTCCTTCCCCTTCACCCTGCTGAGGGAACTGGGTGCTGCCAAGAAAGCTTTCGGCTCTGCGTCCCAAGGATGGGGTCTGGCAGGTGGGCTCCTATGGACCATATGCTCGGGGGGGGGCCCTGGCTACTGAATTTGCTTCAACCCACAGCCTGCCAATATTTAAGTTTGGTGGTTTTTAAGGACGCAGTGCAAGCTTTTGTCCGTGCTGTCTGTCTTAACCTGGGCTTTTGGCCAGAAAGTATTAATCCTGTCAATGTGCAGGAGTGGGGAAAGCTGGGGAGTGTTTGATTTGTGCCAGTTGCTGGCATCAGCTCATTTTAAGCTTCTGGAATGAACCCACTTATGACTGAATGCTGCAGTTTAAATTCTGCGAATAAAACAGATAAAATAATCTCAATTACTTGAGCTCAGCATTGGTTCACATATGCCACTCTAGAGATTTAGAAGGCATTATTTCATACAAACATTTAATTATATTTAATTATGATTCTACAGATATTTTTCTGTTCAACAGGTCGGAAAAAAATGTGTTTTTCAAACTTTCAGTCACTTTCAGTAAGTGATGCCCGCTAAAACACAGAATACATAGCATAATAAAATCTCAGTGCTGTGTTACAAACATAAAAGAAACATCCCTTCTTAAGTAAATGACTGTAGTACAAAACCTGTGCAGAGCAAACTAAAGCAAGAAAGCTTGTGAAAATTTTAGGGAGGAAAAAGGCCTGTCCAAGTGTGGTGTGTATATATACATGTGCACATGCATTCACACACCCACCAACACCTGGTCTCTCCTATACCTGTTATTCCTATCAACAGGTCTCAAGACTGAAAACTGTGATTGGCAGCTCTTTAGTCACTAAAAGAGCAAAAGGTTTGGGAAAGCTGATCAAGAGAGAGGTTTCAGAGCTACTAATAAAAGATGAATCAGAGCCTGCTAAAGTACAGTTTAAATAGTGCATTTTTGCATCTTAATACTTTCAGTCCTCCTGGATGCATTTTTCTCCCTCTTCCTCTGGCACAACCCCAGCTACATCCTACAGCATTAAGATGTTCTGTTAAGCACATGTGCAACTGTGTTTTTAAGCCTTGTGAAGGCTTACTTATGTCAAAAGATGTACCATTACAAAGATCACATAGGCTAGACTCCACAAATTTATATTTACAAACGAAGTAACTGTGGTAATCTTCCTAAACGTAAATGATAGAAACTACATAGAAGCGAAGACCTTTAATACATGGATTTAAAAGATCTTTTTGAAATATTAAGAAATAAGTCAGACGCGAGGCTTGTCCTTTTACTCCAGACACTCAGAGAAAGAATTAAATGGGAGAACGTGAGACTAACCATCCCATCTGCCTTCGTAAGTCACCCAGACCAGAGGCAGAAATGCTATGAAAGTTAATGCAATGAACCCCAGAAGTGTCACTTTTGCAAATCTCAAGAGGTATCATTGACCTGAGGCTGGCTGCAGTTTCTGCCCCAATTCCACTTTAACGTATTCCAGTTTGACCCTCAAGCGACAGCGCTGCTGGAGAACATGCTACGAAACAAATGCAGGCAATTGCTTTGACATAATTCTTTTGGATGCAGGCAGATCGAATGTGCTGATGTCAACAGAGACCAGAAAAGAGTTTTACCCAATCTCCTTTCCTCACTGAAGAAAACAATAAGAGAAAACAAAGCACAACCCAAAACCTAGCCAAACATGTGCCCTTCTCTCAGCAGCAAAACTAATACATGCTGTCTAAGAAAGGGAGAACCAAGACAAACGTTTCTGAAGTATCATTTGGATGCATACACAGCATTTCATTTATAGCTTAAATTTACATGACTTGTATATATAATTGGCTCTTTGCACATAACACACATGAAACATCTGTTCTATAGAGGATATTAATCAAAAACCCCAGGAACAGCGTAATTCAGTCCTTTATGGCCATAGTACATTCAAAAGAGTTCCTAACATAGTTCCCTCACCTTAAAGCAAACTACTCTTCTTCCCTTTCTCCCATTCTTCTAAAATTTAGGGGACTGCACGGACCTGATTTCAATATGATTGTCAGGATGAAACCTTCCTGCCTTGCCACTCACTTAAATGACCAAGCTCTAGCAACTTCGAGGCTGCATAGCTTGATGTCAGAGAATATTGAGGCAACACCGATTTTTCTGCACAGGGACAGCAAGAATATAAGACGGGGATATTTTTTCCACGGGAAAGATGAATTATGGTAGGAAACCAGATCAAGGAAGCCACAATGACTATCTCGAGAATAAAAGATTAAGCTAAAGATTTTCTTCTCTACCTGGTCGCAGTTGCTCCTGAAATAACTTCTGTATAAAAGGAAAAGAGAAAAACCCCACACATCAATGGTACAGTTTTTCAGAACTCGTAAGGGAAAATACCAGGGTTGAATGTGGTATGTCCCTCAACTTTATACAATGAAAACAGAACAAAGAAACAGATCCCAAGCTCATTCCCTCCTCCCTCTTTTACCTCCTCTCCTAAGAAAGGCTTCCACCTCTGCTACTCACAATTTTCCTTTTCTCCCATTCCTCCAGCTCCCCATCAGTCCATGCAGACAGATTGTCTGTAATGGTATCATGCAAAAACCAGATGAGATCCTCAAGGCTTCCCATTTCTGTATGCCTAAAGTGCTTCCAAGAAGAGAAAGTCTTGTGGAAAAATGGATTCTCACTTCCCTTTTCTGGAGCTACTTGTGTGCTCCCATTGTTTACTCTACCACAGTAAAAGTCTGCATCTGCTATCTGACCACGATGGAGAGACAGATAAAAATTACCATTTTGAATGTCCATAAGAAGCATGGTCTCTGAGAGAAGAGTAATCATGTGTTACAGCCGTTGAAACGACTTGATCTAGAACATCAAACCACTCCTACACAAAGAAAAAACAGACTTTTGTCCTTCTTCATCTACCACCCTTTCTGTGACCTGCTCCCAAAACGTGGCCACAGTTTGGCTGATCATCAGAGGCTGCAGAACATTTTCAGCTATGTTGGGACCTGTGTAAATGTTGTAATGTTCAGGGAATAAGGGTTTTAAGACCACCAATCATCAGGAATTATCAAACACTTCAGTCCCCACAGCGTGTGGTGTCCTGCACCTTGCGTAACCATCCAGAAAGAAAACTTTGGAATCACTGCTCTAGACAGTCAGAGGACAAAGGCTGATCAAAAATACAACTGAATGTCCTAACGAATTCCTTGAATTTCTCATGCTGTCGTGTTTTATTTTTTAAAGCATTTGTCAAGATATGAAAGTATGGTTGAAGCTTTTTTCTAACACTAGGAATGAGAAGGCGGCTTTAACCAAAACAAAAGTTTACTATCTACCTTGACTCCTGTAAGGTCTTTGACATGGTCCCATACAATATCCTTGTCTCTAAATTGGAGAGATATGGATTTGATGGATGGACTATTTGATGGATAAGGAATTGGCTAGATGGCCATATCCAAAGAGTTGCAGTCAATGGCTCAATGTCCAAACAGAGATCAGTAACAAGTGGTGTCCATCAGGGGTCCTTACTGGGACTGGTACTGTTCAGTATCTTTAATAATGGCATAGGCAGTGGGATCGAGTGCACCCTCAGCAAGTTTGCGGATGACACCAAGCAAAGTGGTGCAGCTGGTACACTTGAGGGATGGGATGCCATCCAGAGGGACTTTGACAGGCTTGAGAAGGGGGCTTCTGTGAATCTCATGAAGTTCAACAAGGCCAAGTGCAAGGTCCTGCACTTGGGTCGGGGGAATCACCAGTATC